TCTGGTATATTTGTTAAAATTACATCGGTTTTTAGTGTCTTACAGGTTCTGTTGGGTTTTAAAACTCAGATTTTGGTTTCACAGATAATCTATTTCGCGTTTAGGTTACATTTATTTAAAATAACGCTTTATGCACACACTGACTTGTTGGGACAATGCTGATCGCCGCGCCACCTTTAGCGAAGTCTACTTGGATGGTATTCTATTAAGTATTTAAGTCAAAATGACAGGTCTTTTATGCCTTTTAAAACTTTCGGCAAAAATTTAAATAATCATTGTTTTTCATTCATTTCTTGGTTAACTTTAACATTCTTCATATATACGTAATTCCGGTTCAAAAGGTATGTGGCTATATCGTATAGACTATTCGCGTTATTACATTTTAGTAACTTGAATATATTTATACGCGGATATCCTGAGATGACGGGCGCTCAAGATATCGCATACCCCGGATTGGGCCATTGACGGCCAATACGGCGGATGCTCAAGATGGCTTCCGCTAAAAGACGGCTGGCACTTTAAATAAAAAATGTTCTAAAATAGTAGTCGCTTAAGTTGGTATATGCGCAAAATGCGAACGCCAAGATGGCGGACACCTCAATTTGACGGACGCCCCAAAATGGTGGACACTCGAAATGGCGGACAACAATTTCTCGTAATCCAATTCATTTACGTAATGATTACCTTTGAAACTAATCGAAATTTCGCTTGAATGCTACATAATTTACTATTCAATTTCAAGCTACGTTTATAGTAGTTGTCTAAATCTTTTCCATCCATAACACTATAGCTTCCACGTAACTGTAAGTAAATACTCCATAATGAATTAGTTTATTCATCGGGTCTTGATGTCAATAAACTTGGCGAAAACCAGCAATAAAAACTTTACTTTTTACTTTTGGTGAAAAAAAAACAACTTCAGACAATTTTGTCAGAATATTCTTTCTGTAATTTATTTTTTCCAATCTTGTTCACAATTAAGTCCAAAAAGAGAAAGTAGACAGTAGACTAATTACATTTTCACGTCTGTTAAAATATTATCAGTTTTGGCTTCCATTGTAAGCTTTACATTGGAATGTTAAAGATTTTGAAGATGTTAAATATTAACCAACATATAAATATATAAGAAAATCTTATTTTTTTATATGTCGGTTAATATTTAACATCCGCATTATATTTAGTGCATATATTTTTAATAAATTTCTAACCCTTGTTTTTTGTGTAGTTGTCATTATAAATATATAATAAAATAAAATTTCTAATAATATTATTTTGCCGTTTTGAGAACGGTTCCATGACATTATCAAAGCTGAGCTTCTACTTATACGTACAATGAAAGTAGTTCCGACAATTTCCGATTACGCAAACTGCAACACATTTATCACGGAATAAGCCGCGTGTTGTATAACGCTATAACATGCTTGCTTCACGAGAGTTTAACCCTTCCCTAAGGTCACAAGTCATTGATCTTTCATGTGACCGACTTCTAAATAAGCTGTTCCAAACACATTTCGGTTGATGTCTTTACCTTGTTCGTATAGGTTTTATCGCTAGCCATTTGTGTCTCGTATTATTATTGTTTTAACCTTTATATTAACGTTGAAACGTTGGGCGTCTAATACTAATTAGGAACACATGTTTATTTTAATGTAATTTTAAGATTTCTTTTTACCGCGTGCGTTTCTTATGTTAATAGCTTTGAAAATGATCGGCAATCTTTTTTACATTCGTTATTTTAGGCTTCAGAATATTTTAATCACTAAATTAATATTTTAATCGTCGTTTAGCCGCTGTCTGAATCTTCGTTTCGGTTTAGATTACATTTATACTTGGTAAGTAGTTACAAATGTATACCGAACGTCCACCGTTATGGCCGTCCCTGTTCTTAAGGTTCCCTTAAATTGCCGCAGTATCGCTATTTTATCTTCTACGTGATAAGGTTACATTTCTTTAAACAAAAAAATTAAAAAGTAGATACGGCACGCGGCGCCGCGCTGCACCGCGCGCTCTTTTTAGAAATGCAATATAATATAGAGCATATTCTTTACTCAATAAAATACAAATTTCTTTATTTGCAGAATCACCCAGCACATACTGTTGGCGGCAGCTTCTGCTGCCACGGGCTATACAGTTTGTTACATTGCTTTTCAACATTAAGATATATTTCTTTGAAAAACAAACAGCGGCTAAACGACGTCGAGCTTCATCACCGCTCTTTAGGGGTAGCAATGCAATGCAGGATATAATCGCAGCAAATATAAGTGCAAAAAGAAAGTTACTAATTATCTTCAAAAGATGAATTATGAGGGTACCGAAGCTCTCCTAACTATCATCAGTTAAGATCAATTTGTACAATTATACCAATTTCTAAGTTTTACTTACCTAACAAAATCAACACAAAACACACATGCGTATGTACACGCACACACACACCCGCACGCACGCACGCACACTCAAAATTAGTTGTTTAATATAAGTTTATTATATTAGTCAAACAATCATATTCATAGAGTAAATTATACACTTGAAAACGTTACTTTTGAAAGCTTAAATGCTATGGAATTCACTTTGAATGTAATTTATATGGAATCTGGAGTCATGTCATCTTTTCATGCTTAGTCTGTCACATAGTGTTCAATTTTGTAATAATACAGTTGAATTAAAATTTTAATGTAATTTTTAAATTCAGGAAATGATATATATTCATATCATTTCATATCAGATAAGATTATGATTTCCGTCATTAAGTTCTCCGGAATCATATTGTAAAAACATATAGAGTGCCCCATAAAAGGGTCGTTTGCCATGATTAAGCGAAATCGTGGTACCAGGAGTTTGGACTTGGCTCTAAGGTTAATATAATATACTGTTTAATGTAATCTCTCTTATCTTTCTATTATCCACTTGTGTTAGGACCTAGTTTAGGCTCAAATCTCCCACAAATGTAACAATTACCTTATTGTTAATATGTGTCATTTAGCTTTGTGAGGAGAAATAAATAATTTTATATTGTATTGTATTTGTATTAATGTACAATTTCGTTTTTACTTAGTATAACGAAGTTCTGTATTGCAATGCTATCTTTAAAATTTGCGCTATGTAACCCGACATCGCTCAGCTTCTGTCTGCCTTTCAAAGAAATATGCCTAATACATATATATTTTTACTGTTGAGAAGCTAAGTCGCACAATGCATGGCCAGTGATAGTCATAGCTGCCGACTACAAAATGCGCCACGCATTTTTACGTCTTTGTTATGTTGTATTCAAAATTATACGTTTATGTATATATGTCTTTTTTATTTTATTTTTTAAGTTACGACTGTTCTTGGTAGTTATAATTTTCGGGGATATGCGTATACTTGTGAATTAATTTTCGGTTGCGTCCTTTACTTTTTCTACGTTATTTATGGTTACTTTAATTTATTTTATGTTGATCTGTTATATGACGTTTTTGGGGTATTATTACGTTCTAAAAGTATGAAAAGCTGCGTTTTCGGTGTTCCTACAGAAAATTGGTGAAATGGAACATTAGCGATTCTTTAGAGTTTAGCGACGTAGTTCATTACTATTTGTCCGTGATATAATTTATAAAAGTAGATAAAAATACTGTCAGTAACGGTATAGGTAATCAGATGCTTAATCGATTTATTTACTTATACATACACGTATAATTTCGCAATCGCCAAGACAAAACAGCGCAAGAGACATAAAAATACTAAAAAGTCTTATATGATGGCTCGGTTTATAGATTTATTTATTTTTCTTTAAATTCGCCAAGAAAAAATCCAGGTAACCCCTCAACTCACACTGCCGCAGAGTCGAAGCGTCGCGATGCGTCATGTTTTTCGCCTAAAGCAGCATTCATCTCTATTTTCCAATTATTAAGGTACAAATTTGTGTTAAGCAAATACGGAGTCAAACGTCGCCGCGCGTTACTTGAGCGCAGTGAGGCACCACACTGTGATCCGCGCGTGACGACGCGCGTCATCAGGCGTTGTCGTTGGTAAACAGAACGCGACGCGACGCTTCGACTCTGCGCCAGTGTGAGTTGAGCCTTAATGAAGTCAGCCAGATATTTTTTTTACAATTATTAATACAAAGGTTTTTTTTTAAATATTAATAATATTTGCTGTCTCAGACTTCAACACTCGGTCTCATTTTTTCCCCTATTAAATAGATTATCTTTTTCGACAAGACATGACAAATTATCTCGTTCTGAATACAATAGAAATCAATGTTGAAAAAGATCTCGCCAGTGCTTTGTTATTTGCAAGCCACAAAATCACGTTCGCATTGTGTACAATGGACCTCGTGTAGTCATTAATATATACTACCCTCCAGCTAATTTCCGAATCGACTATTGAAAATACGTACAAAGTAACGACGTTTGTAATTCGGTACCTTAAACGGAATAACGGAGAAGAATACCAACATATATTTTTTAATAAACAAAAAATATATCGATCCTAATATTACAGAAATAACATTGCAAATTCCAATATTTTAAGGTATAAAACGACGAAAACGCTCGTATACATTAAAAGATGCTCATTGCTGTAAAACGCCCAGTATGCCGTGGAATAAAGTCGTACACAACGCTGTAAGTAAACAAACAATACGCAAAGGATAAAAGGCCGCAGTTTAACGAATCAGCGCCCCAGAGATCGTTGACGCACATCCGCCCGACACGAGCACACCGCGCGCTGAAAGTTTTAAACATGTGCTTGGCCAATACAATTCACACCTTTTTTAATATGTTAAGTATATAGCAATTCAAACCTCCAAATTTTTATGGAAATTGAAACTTTTGTTGGCCAACCACACATTTGAAAAATAATAATAATAAGAGAAACATAATAATCAAAGGAAAAGTAAATGATAATGTAGCAAATCATTTTAAAAAAGCCAATAAAGTAAAGCACCCAAATGAGAAATAAAAAAAAAATAAAAATATTAAATAAAAGTAAAAAATTTACAAACTTCTAAAACTAGAACTTACCGTTAGTTATGTGCAAAGTTGTGCAGCACAGACAACCTATGGCTCCGTCGTTGCGAAACTTGAAGTTATAGTGTTTTTCTAAAAAGTCTCCTTTGTTTCGTTTTTACAACACTAGATTTTTTTCACTTGCACTGTGTTCACGTGCACTTCGCGAGAAGGTTTCAGGACCGACTGGCGTAACGCTCCAAGTTAGGATGCTAAGTGATGACTGAAAGCTATGATCGATGAGAAGACTGAGTTTTTGCGGGGTGGAGGGGATGGCTCTGGGGGTGAGTACGTTCGGGTCTCTGCGCTTCCATTGGCTGATGATCGGCCAATCCTGACTAGAAACGAAGCGCTTCAAGAATCCTTAACGCGCCAACAACCTGTCGATTTGAAAATGTGAATTTTATCAAAAACCGACGGCAAGTTACAGTATTAAATAATGTTCTCCTTTACTTTCCTTTTAGTTTTCATTACAGTACTCTAATACCATCGAGATGTGGTCACGGTGGTGTCGCTGTATTTGTACCAAATAATAATATAAGGGCTTTAATTAGTATTATTGATTAATTTGATTAATATCTTACTTTTTATACCAAATTTTCAATCAAGTACTAATTTAAAGTTACTATTGCGTAGACAATTTGTATCTACGAAAACCACTACGATATTTGTCGTAGCACACGTTTCGTAGCACCCGTTGCGTAGCGCGATGCCGCCGATGACAAAGTAGCAGATTAGAGCTACGGTTCGAGTGATTACGCATTACAATGAGAGGTGGGCGTTTATACGAAAAGCACTTCAAAAGTCTGTTTTTTTAAATAAGCGCATATGCACGGTTTTCATTTTAAGCGTAAGCGTTAGTCACTGGTCAGTTCTATAGATACTCAACAATTTCATTTTTTACAACGTGGCTAAGGTTCAAGTAGCACCATCTATGTTTCCTAAACAAATTAATTCAACACAACGTTGCAAACCATTTTAAACATAAAGTCTATGCGCTTAAACGTTTTTCTAAGCGTCCAACTAAAAAGGGTTGAAGTGACAAGCGCTTTACAAGTATTTTAAACTTACGTTTTAACGTTAAAAAATACGCAGTTTTTTCATTTCAACGGTTAACAACTACAAAAGTTAAACAAGTTATGTTTTTGAACGCTTTTAAACGACAATGAACAAAATGTTATTATAAAAATGTTATGTCATAAATAAAAATATAACTCGTTTTTACAAAAAAACTTGCTGATCTTAAAACTTTTAGTGGTCTACACTCTTGCGTTTCGCTATCAACACAACGTTGCAAGTTTTTTTTAACATAAATATAATGCGCTTAAAAGTTTTCTAAACGATTTTGTTAGCTTCAAACTAAAAAAACGTTTAAGTGAAAAAGCGCACGCTTTTTTTTAAAAAGCCATATTTATAGGTATAAAAATAGGTTAAAAAATAAGCATAGAACCTAAGAACTCGATAAATAAGCATAGGTTTAAAAAAATAAGCAGTTTTTCCCATCTCTAATTACTCAGATAGTTGTTAAGGTCCGTATTAAAAATAGCTCCTATATATAATGTTAAGGACGCATCGACTAAAATGCCACCAAATCTCGAAATACATCCCAATTGACAATATAATTGCCGATATTACGCCATCAGATGTAATTGAGACTAGGTTAATTAGGACTTAATAACGATCTCGAGTTGTAGCTTAAATGCTGATAGAAGTTTATTAAAAAGTCAACTAATGCTTAATCAGTGAGTGATTATTGATATGCACTCAAGTGATGTTTATTAATAGACGCAGTTGACATGAAATGGATTTATTAACACATACAACCAAAAATCTTATGATCGGTTTAATTAGTCCCAATCTCAACACTTGATTGATGTTAAAACAGTAATTACAAACATTTTCATATCGCGATGCCTACGCTTGTGTCCAAGTGGGCTAGGTGTACTTTTTAAAAGTAATTAGTAAAGTCTAAGAAAAGTTGATAGAAGTTAAACACAGTAACATATTTTGAACAAATACGCGATCTAATAGCTCTAAAGAGTAAATAAAATGATAATTAATGATGAATTGATTTGGTTGTTCTCTATTACCTTAATATCACAATTAAAAGGAAATTATTGACTCTTCTACTACTTAGTAAAATCTTTCACAAATGAAATGGTTGGTTTTTAAGGGATTTCAAAATGAATATCACTTTTATTGTCATAATTATTAATACAAAGATCGATCACTTAGAAAAATTCCTTCGATCCGGCCCGATTCGAACCGACGTCTTCTAGCAAACCTTCTAGCAAAGTCGTTGAAAACCAAATACAAAGATCCAACAATAAGCAAATAGAAAAATTCGTGAGATCCGCTGGTTCGTTCCGTGACTTTGTTAGCATAGCGGCACGGTTTGCAAGAAGACGTCTGAAGAGACGTCAGAATTACAACAAACTAGTGGAGTAATTTCACAAAAAAATATTTGAGTATCAATTCAATATAAATTTAATAATTTTTATTTTTAAAACCTTTTAAGAACATTATGCTATTGTTTGGAAACTTTTCAGTCACGTAAACAGGACGTTAAACTTTTAGGTCATACTCATTTTCACTTACGAATATTACTACTTGACCGTTGTCTTATAACTTGTTTTCAAGGTTATTTTTAATATCCTTGATTTGTGCATACGGCTTGGTCTCAGCCCTAATATCACACTTTCCCGTAATCTTAGTTAGCCGTAACCATATGACATATAAAAAGCCTGAAAAGTTAGTTTATTTGAAAAAGCAAATATATCCGTTTTAATTCCAGGAAAATTACTTTCATTTCCAATCATATTTTCCATAAATTGTCTTTTCCGCAGATTTTCCAAGGAGTTAAATGATCGATTTTACTAGAATTTACCAATTGGTTTATTAAGACCTGAGATTTCTTCATTTGCGTTGACTAAATCTCTCATGGAGCTCACGGGCATACTCACCAAAATATATTCTGTAAAAAACCGACAGATAATCAACTTTGCGGCGGTAGGCTAAACTATGAAGTCGCCAAAAAGTCTCCTAGCTTTGCGTTCAACCGAATCAAGAGCCTATAGTTAATATTTGGCTGTAATACACCACGCAAGATCGGACTGCTTGCTCTTGATTTGTGCAGAGTTAAGAGCTGCCGAGGCGTGGAATATCGATTTACTTTTATTAAGGATACCCACTTGCTAGGTGAGATGTAATATCGACCTTTAGTTTATTTCATTTTTTAAATTGATTTGTAGTTATTTACAAGTCATCTAAAATTCTCGAAATTTGTATGAGGGTGAAGAACGACTCTCTTGATGTATAAGTATCAGTAATTATGTCATCTAGCACATTGGACTTTTGCACGTTCTTTGTGTGGTAAGCTTTTGCCCCTTAGAAGCTACGCATAAGCTACGTTATAATATGCGTATTTTTATTTTGTCAAATAAAAATTTTTTTCAAGATGTTCGCGCGGTGAGGGTAGACTGTTGTAAATTGAAAATAAACCATTTCTCTCGGGACCTTAAGATCTTTTATTTGTTTCTTTTTAAACAAACCAACGTTTCGGGCCATTTGATGCGGTTCTATGGCTGACTGAGATGGTACAGTTACAAAGCAGTTATGTCTAATGTTAATGCAAACCAACATATTTTGAACTGTAATTACAAAATAGTATTGACTTAAAAATAGCTTATTTTTAAATTAACCAAAGACATTCCAATTTACGCTATAATTGATTTGTAAAATATTTTATTTCAAGAATATGATTTTTTAATAAATTAATCTTAAATTTTAATTAAAGGGAACGTAGAAATAAAACTAAACAAAGTAAAAAAAAGAACTTCTGTACTTAATTAAACATCAGTCTACATCTAATCAACATCGATGTTTAAGTGCATTTAATTAGACCTTTTCCACTCGCAAGAGGGGGAATTGGCTGCTTTGACCACGGAGTGGCAGGGGTAGACAAATGATAGTACAGTCAACGGTATTAGAAAAATTCAATTAATTATTGTAGATATTTTGTAGATGCAATGTTTGGAGGGCGAAATATTATTAAAATAAGGCCAATGCTTACGGAGATTGCATTAGAAATACAATTTAAGGTGTAAAAGAAGTCTAGATAAAGGCCTCAAAAACGTACGAAATTTTACAGAGAGCCAGAGCTTAAAAATGTGTTTTCTTTTGAAATATTTTTAGTTCTTATTGTGTAGTGTTATTTATATTATTTTGTGTGTCAAATACGACGAGATTGTCAAAATATATTTCCGAGGGCCGTACACTATTATTACTTTGTGACGCTGGCGGGCTGGATTAAAGACCTTTGCAGGCCGGAGTAAACCCGCGGGCCGTACTTGGCACAAATCTAGTCTAGAACGATGTATTCAGACAGCATTAATATTACAAAACATAAACATATGAACAATAGGGTTTGGACAAGTAGAGTTAATGAACGAAAGAAAATTGACAAAACAGATTTATCAGGCGATTGTGAGCGAGTCAACCAAGGCGTACTACAACGACCAAATTAAGGATATCCTAAAAAAAACCAGGTCAACTACCCGACGTATAAGAACATTCATGCGTGTTTAATAATTTTTTTTTTGTTTATATAATTTAGAATACTATAATTTCACATAAAAGGAAGTAAGTTGAGAAAAAATATTTTTAAACAACTTATCCAAAAAAAAGCATGGATATCATTGTTCAACCAAATCGCCAAAGACAATTTTTACTCAAATAGCTCCAAATCTACTTGAGTAAAAATTCCAAAGATAATTGGGCGTTGGTACTTTATTCTTTCTTTATTCTTTATTTGCATCAACCATAATACAGTATTAGGATGGAAAAACTTAAATCTAGGTTACAGTTCATTATGGACCCTGAAGGGCACAGCAAATTTTAATTTTAATTGGAGAGGGGAGGCTTTACCCTTTAGAATTTATTAATCTTATATGTTAAAATAAAAATAAAAGTAGAGTTTGATGTTTCACTAAATTCAGTAGAATATAATTAAATTAAATTTTGTCTGTTAATATAAAAAAAGTTGAATACATTTATAATTTTTATTTTTTATGATTTATTTTTGTAGTTTTAGGCCGAAAATTTGTCGTTAAAATATTCTTGTACAGAATAATAACTTTTTTCTATCAATAATTTTTTTACTTTCGTCATAAAACATTTTTCATTTG